TACTTGAATGTTCATAAGGCGTTCATTCCTCTTCTTTTTTGTTTTTTAAGAATGAGATGCATGTCTTTTTTTATAAGTATGATGAAACATCATAGCAAAATAATACATGCAGTGAACAAGAAACTTACAGCAATTAGGAATAATTTGGATCCAACAATCAGGAATATTTCAAATAGCAGAAAAAGCTAACAACATAGGTTTCTTTCACCCACCAGAACCAAAAGAAAGTTTTCTTGGCAGTTCTCTGCTTTTAACCCCCTGTGTTCTCAGAGGCGTACCCATGTCCTCAGTGGCTACACCACGTGCCAATATTCAAATCTGGGCACCTATTGGTTTAACTACAGCATCCCAAAAAACTCACTTGCTTTTCAAACCAGGACAGAGGGTCTCTTTCCCTTCTGGCTGGCAAAGAGGTAACAAGGCCGACCCGGCCCCCATCTCAGCCAGGCCGGGCCGGGCGGCTCCTGCCGTGGGGCCGGGCCCATTCCCAGGGACCCCGCCAGGCCCCATCGGCTGCTGGGCAGGGCAGGGGAGGCCGCGGGGCCGAGGCCCGGCCGGGCCATGGCTGCAGTTGTGACCATCTGGGCTCTGCTGAGCCCTGCCCCGCCGCCAGCCCAGGCTGAGCCATGATCCACCGGGCCCCAGGAGCAGCCCCGGGCCGGGCCGGCTCGGCCAAGATTCTGCCACCGTTGGGGTTCAGCCGCAAGCCCCAGGCAGGGGGAGGAGAAGCCATCGGCCCCGGCCATGCTGCTGCTGCTGAGTTCTGGCCTGGCTGCTGAGATCCTGGCCCTGCCCCAGCGCGGCCCATCCTGACACAGCCCCAGCGCAGCTGCTGCAGAAACCTCCATCATAAAACAGCTCCGGCCACAAGCACCGAGCCCGGCTGGGGTCACAGAACCATCTGCAGGCCCCGGGTGAGATATGAACTCTTTCAGTGCTTCCATCCTCCCTCGAGGGAGAGAAAAGGACAAAGTGCAGATACATACATGAGCAGCACAAAGACATGGGGGTCAGTGAAGTGGAAGCTGAGTCCCAGATAGGAGGGATGAGGAGATGTCTTGATCTTGGAGCTGAAATCCTCTTGTAAAGCAATGGAGAAGGATGTAATTGATACATCAGACTCTCTTTTTCCCTATAAGGCATTGAAAAGCATGGGAAGATGACTTGTTCAGCAAAAACCTCCATGCTAAAGTAAGCAAACCTTGAAGTAGCTATGATCCCATGAGAAATTTGAACAGAGAAAGAGAGACTAGTGATGAGACCCTGTGCCTCATGAAGAGAAGAAGACCTCTGTTTGTAGATATGAAGATGATTTCAGAAATAGATGAAGAGAACCTTTGTTCCTAAGCAGCTCATCTTTAAACTAATACCCCATAAACTAACATGCCCATAAACACAGATGTGGCAAAAGATGTGAAAAAATGGGAGGGACTTCACGATTGCAGATTTTCTGGGAGGCTGATGTTCATGGGAATTGAGAGCCACGAGAAATATGTTTTCTTGTAAAGCTTCCATAGCATGGAAGAGAGACTCCTTTCCCTACGTGAATTGAAGAAAAACTATTCTAGAGGTGGCAAAGTGACTGAAAATTTTAGGTTTTGTCTCTTTCATTGTCAGTAAGAAAGAAAAGCTTGCAGGGAGAGGAGAAGTGTTCCAAAAGTTTTTTTTGCATTCATATTACTCTTTCTTCTAGTTACTGGTAATAAACTTTTCTTTATACCCTTTTGAAGTTTTGAGGCTACTTTGCCTTTCTCCTAATCCTACCTCACAGCAGGAAATAAGTACGTATAATTCAGTGAGTGTACTGGTATATAGCCAACACTGAACCCATCACAATCATTGCTGTATTCTCCAAGAAATCTCAAATTAGTGAACAAAAACCACTACAGACAGCTTCCTGATGAGCTCCATGAGAGCAGAGGGAAATCAAGGCAGAGCCATGGTTTGTCAGGATTTGCTTGATCCTCATGCGCCTCACTGTGCATTTGGAGCTGAGCCCTTGAACCTTAGGGCCTGAGAGGAGATTGCACAAACCTTTCCAGGAGTCAAAGTCAGAAGAAAACCGCAAAGTGTCTCAAGGCATTCATGGCTCCCACTGAGGTCCATCCCCAACACAGGCTCCTCATGGACTCCTTGGAGGACAGAATTGAAGGCCAGAATGGCACAAAAACCTCTCAGAGACTCAGCATGGAAAGGAAATTCCAAAGTACCTTAAAAACCTTGAGTATCTCAAAGTATTAATGAGCCCCACTGAGTGTCAGTACAAAGCTCCCAAGGGACTTGTTAAAGTAGATACCTGGGGCCATGATTGCACAAACCTCTCACAGAGTCTGTATCAAAACGGAAACACCAAGTACCTTAAAAGAACTGAAGTACCTTGAAGCATTAATGAGCCCCACTGAGTGGTGTTACTGACAAAGCCTCTCCAGGGACTAATTACAGCAGATAATTGGAGGCCATCATTGCACAAAGCTCTCAGAGACTCCAAGGCAAAAGCCAAACCCAAAGTCCTTTGAAAAACCTGCAATCCCTGCAGGGAGCATTCAGGAGTCCCCATTCCTGAGCAAGGCTCCCCAGGGACTCCTTCCAGCAGATCCTTGAGGCCACTGGGATGTGGGCTAGGGGGGGATGCTGAGGGCAGGACAAGGGGCTGCCAGTGCCCAGCCTGGCTGTGGCTGTGCCAGGAGGCCCCAGGGCCTCAGCACAAGGTGTCTCCTCACAGCCCTTGGTGGTACAGACCCTGCTGTGCCCCAGGGCACCAAGACTTGGCTTCTCTTTGTCCCCACCTGTCATCACTGCCTCCAGTTCTCTGCTCTGCCTGGGGTCTGGGGACACTTTTTCAGTCGTGTCCCTCAGTGGGACCCATTACAAGTCCAAGAAACTTTGGAGTTGGATTCTGACTTGGAGTTCTGGAGAGGTTTCTTCAGCTCCTTCTCAGGGACTGATGTTCAGGGCCTGAGCACAAAGCCCCAGAGACTCATTACAGTCCTAGTCCTGTATCTGGGCTGCTGAGCTGAGCTGGGCTCCTGGTACAGATGCAGCTCCTGGTAACCAAGAAGAGCTTCAAAAGCACATTTCTCCTGATGAGCAGCTCTTCTGCCAGCCCAGCAGGGCTGGGGCACTGCCTGCAGCCAGCCCAGGCACAGCACAGAGGCACAGAGAGCTTCAATCAGTCAGGGCTGGGAAGGTGCTGAGAAGTGCCTGGGGCAGAATCACTGCCAGCCCTTGGCACAGGAACCTCTGGCTGCAGGACAATGCAGCTGCAGCTCCTGGAGCCATCTCCTGCTGCTGGACCATTCCAATGCCTATAGACTCTGTGAGTACAACTCTGGGTATTTTTGGTGCAGGGGAGGTGAAATGCTCATGAAGCTCTGATGTACTGAGGGGTTCTGATCAGTCACAGAATATTTCCAAGACAAGGATTTTGATAAAAATGAGGAAAATTCCTAAGACTGTATTCAGTTTCCTACTATTGGAGGATGACGGGGAGGGGGTATAAATATTAAAGGATGATTATGAATTTTGACAAGTACCTGAGAAATCTGAACTGTTACTTTTAGTGATCAATAGGTTCACAGGAGATTCCTAATGTACTTTCAGCCACTCCTCTGCCCATGGACAGCACCAGCATCACCTTTGCATGACCCATCAGGCTCAGTCTGAGCTGTCCTTTCTCCAAGCTGCAAACAGAATCTGCCCCATCCAGTGCCCTGCAAACAGGCAGGGTTCTGTAGGACCAAGGAGAGTGCACAGAGATTTTTTGGGGTCTGTGAGTGCTGGCACAGAGAGATCAGGCACAGGGAAACACCTGCAGCAGGGAAATCTGCAGGAAGCAGAGAGAAGATCAGGGAATGAAAGAAAACAAAACCCAGCAATGCTGTGGCAGGGAGAGTTTAGAGATGCCCACAGGATCCCCTCCAGTGCAGCCCCTCCCTCTGAACAAGCCCCCTCCCTCCTGTGCCCCAGCCAAGCCTTTGCCCTCAGGGCCGGGGCTCCAAGGTGTGCAGCCCCTCCTGTGCAGGCAGAGCTGCAGCAGAGCCGTGGGGCAGCTCTGCAGCCCCGGGCCCAGTTCCCTCTGCAGAGCACAGGGCTGGGAGCATCTGCCCGGCCCTGGGGGCTCTGGCAGGGGGCACCGCTGGCTCAGGGTGACGCTGTCCCCAGTGCCCGGCTCTGGGCAATGCTGTCAGTGCAGCCAGGGAAGGAGCTGCATCTCCCTTCATCCAATACCATCATAAGGACACTTGGGAGTGTCCCTGAGATTTCAGTCCAAGCTGGGAGCTTCAATCCAGGGCGCAAACCTGTCCTGGAGTATCTCTGAGATATAAGATTGGTGGGGAAAGGCAGCGGTGTTGTTACACTGAAAATGCTGCTGGGTTGGTGAAATGAGCAAAGAGAGCCCTTGGCCACAAATGTGGAGCTGGGCTGTAGTGGATCCATCTGCTCTCAGCAGTACCTAAGGCATTTTTGGGAATAAACATGGGAAGTTGATCACCCTCCACCTGCTAAAGTTTAAACCCCTGACAAAATCTGAACAGATCAGAATGAAAGAACACCTCCCCTTAGTCTCCACTCAACACTTTGTCTCAGAGAAATCACTCTATTCTCCCGGGGGGCAGCAAAAATGCTGAGGGCTTATGATATCCAAGAATACCAAGACAGACATGGAGGGAGCTTAAAAAGAAAACTGCAGAACACTTGAACACAAAAGGAGGTCTGTGTCACTTACAGGGGACAGCGTATGGGAAATTGCTTTGATTTTGCTTACGGGTGTCTCCTCTATCTCTACACTGTCTTTTTCTCCATGAACAGGTCCACATGCCAAGGATCAGCAAATGTCCAACAGCAGCTCCATCAGGCACTTCCTCCTGCTGGCATTGGCAGACACGCGGCAGCTGCAGCTCCTGCACTTCTGCCTCTTGCTGGGCATCTCCCTGGCTGCCCTCCTGGGCAACGGCCTCATCATCAGCACCGTAGCCTGCGGCCACCACCTGCACACGCCCATGTTCTTCTTCCTGCTCAACCTGGCCCTCACTGACCTGGGCTCCATCTGCACCACTGTCCCCAAAGCCATGCACAATTCCCTCTGGGACACCAGGGACATCTCCTACACAGGATGTGCTGCTCAGCTCTTTTTCTTTCTCTTCTTTATCATAGCAGAGTTTTCTCTCCTGACCATCATGTGCTACGACCGCTACATGTCCATCTGCAAACCCCTGCACTACGGGACCCTCCTGGGCAGCAGAGCTTGTGCCCACATGGCAGCAGCTGCCTGGGCCAGTGCCTTTCTAACTGCTCTCATGCACACGGCCAATACATTTTCCCTGCCCCTGTGCCATGGCAATGCCCTGGGCCAGTTCTTCTGTGAAATCCCCCAGATCCTCAAGCTCTCCTGCTCAAAACCCTACATCAGGGAACTTGGAGTTTCTGTTTTCACTGCCTCCTTAGCTTTTGGTTGTTTTGTGTTCGTTGTTTTCTCCTATGTGCAGATCTTGAGGGCTGTGCTGAGGATCCCCTCTGAGCAGGGACGGCACAAAGCCTTTTCCACCTGTCTCCCTCACCTGGTTGTGGTCTCCCTGTTTATCAGCACTGGTATATTTTCCTATCTAAAGCCCCCCTCCATGTCCTCTCCATCCCTGGATCTGACCCTGTCAGTTCTGTACTCGGTAGTGACTCCAGCCCTGAACCCCCTCATCTACAGCCTGAGGAACCAGGAGCTCAAGGCTGCCGTGTGGAGACTGATGGCTGGATGCATTCAGAAAGACTAAATTAGATGACAGTTTTTGCAAATCACTTGTAATAAAAGTCATCTTAGATAGCTCTTGTTGGTTTTCTTGCTGGTGGTTTTTTTTCCCTTGATTGTAGTTTTTCCATATTTTCCAAAAGAAAAGCCACAGTTCATTCCATTTCACATTTTGTGTATCTCAAGAGTTCCTGTGGCCACAGACTGTGTCAAGGAGGGGCTGCAGTCTTGGTGGCTGTAAAGGAACTAAAGGATCTCCCAGCAAAGTTTTCTGCAGAGATGCCCTTTTGTTGCCTTCTCTGGAGGTGCAGCAGCAATGTCTGTGTGCAGAGCTGGGGGCAGATCAGTGCTGGCCCAGCAGCTGTGCCCAGCAGCAGCAGCCGCACTTGGTGTTGCCAGTGCTGCTGCCGTGGCCCTGCCCCGCTGCCCTGGTGGCCCTGGTGTTGCTGCAGGGCCTGAGTGCTCTCGGGGCCGGGCACAGCCCTGGGGGTGGCACTGCCGCGGCTGCAGCAGGGACAGGCCATGGGCACTGCTGGGGCAGCTCTGACGCCTCAGCCCAGGGCCTGGGGGCCCCAGGCTCCTTGCCCAGGCTCTCTCAAGAACACGGCCAGGCCAATGCTCAGCACAGAAACCCCCGTGAGCAGCCTCAGGCTGGCCGTGGGCAGGCTGGGGGCAAACAGCATGGCTGGGGCTCTGCAAGGGCCCTGGGGCAGACGGGATAGAGCAGCAGAGCAGGGGCTGATCCATCCCCAGTGCGCTGCACAGCTCAGGGCAGCGTCCCAGAGCATCCTCATGGAGCTGCCAACAACATCCCCCCTCTGCAGCCCTGGCCTCTCCCCCAGTTCACACAGGTGCCCCATCCTTGCAGGCACAGACACGGCAGCACTGGCTCAGCAGCCCCTGTTTGCATTGCACAGAGCAGAGGGAGCACCCCCATGCTCTTGGTGTGGGGACATGAACGTGAGGGAGCACAAATGCCATCAGCCCCATGGGCCAGCAAGGGCTGGGGGACACCGGGGAAACCACTCAGTTTTTTCTTGGCCTCTGCAGTCAGGCAGAGAGTTTGTTCCCATCCGCTGAGAGTTCCCTGTCCCAGTGCAGACGCTGTTGCTCAGAGCCAGGGCTGCCTAGCAGCCACCCCCAAAATGCCTTCAGCATTTCCTTGACTTCACCTTTGCTTTTTTCACTCTTCCTGCTGCAAGTTTCTTCCTATTGCCCAGCCCTGTCCCCTCCCCTGCAAACAGCCCATCCCTGTTTGCCCTTTCCTCTCTGGCCCCACTCCCCATTGCAGTTCCTGACTTGGCCCCATGGGAACGTCCCTTGGGCAGCAGGATCATCCTACAAGTGCTGCAGGAATTGTCTGCAGGCTCCTGCAGTGCCTGGTGCTGCTCCCTTGCCAGAGGCACCCCAGGCCAGGGGGGCACATCTGGGCTGCTGTGTCTGCCTCTGGGGCTCCCTGTTCTGGGCAGTGAGGAGGAGCTGCAGAGGCTCTGCAGGACTGACAGGATGGGCTTTGGGGCTGGCAGGAGAAGCTGAGGGACCTGGGCTGCTGCAGCTTCTCAAGAGGGGGCCCAGGGCTCATCCTGCAACTGCTCCAAGGGTGGTTCCAGAGAATCCCAGAATCAGCAAGGCTGGAACAGGCCATGGAGATCATCAAGTCCAGCCTGTGCCCTGACACCGCCTTGTCTCCCCTGAGCCTCGTCTTCTCCAGGATAAACAACCTCAGCTTCCTCAGCAACTCCTTACAGCACTTGTGCTCCTGACCCCTCCCCAGCCTTGTTGCCCTTCTCTGGACACGCTCCAGTCCCTCCATGTTCTTCCTAAATTGGCGGCACCAGAACTGAAAACAGCACTTGAGGTGCTGCCCAAGCATTGCTGAGCACAGGGGAAGAATCCCTGCCCTGCTCCTGCTGGCCACACCATTCCTGAGCCAGGCCAGGAGCCATTGGCCTTCTTGGCCACCTGGGCACACTGCTGCCTCATGCCCAGCCTGCTGTCCATCAGTCCCTGCAGGTCCCTTTCTGCCTGGCTGCTGTCCGGCCCCTCTCGCACCTTGTGGAGGAAGGGAAGGGAAGGGAAGGGAAGGGAAGGGAAGGGAAGGGAAGGGAAGGGAAGGGAAGGGAAGGGAAGGGTCCAGATCCAATCCTTCCTGAAATGTGGGGTTTGCTGGAACTGCCAGTGCCTTGACCTGAAAATTTCCCTATTCTGGCACAGCTCAAGTGCAGCAATTTGCTGGCACAGAAATCCAAAACCCGGCAACTTCCTGCTACTGGGTCTGGCACCTCCCACATCTTGTGTTTGCTGCCCCAGTACCCAGATTTGGAAATTTCCTGGTGCCCGCACAGCCCAAGTCCAGTGATTTGCTGGCACAGAAATCTAAAGTTTGGAAATTTCAAGGTTCTGACTCCAGCACCATCCAGATCTAGTGTTTGCTGAGACTGCCAGTGCACAGATTTGGAAATTTCCCGATGCCTTCACAGCCCAGGTCTAGCAATTTGGTTTTAGCTAGCTTAGGAAGAGAAGTTCCTCGGACTGTGACTTTCCTTTTTCTTGGAACTGTTTAAACCTGCTCTGGACTGAAAACCCAGACAAACACCTGCAGCTCACACCTGTGGCCCCCCGAGCTCTGGGACGCTGCATTCCAGAACCAGAGGGACTTAGAAGAGACCGAGTGAGCCAACTACAACCCACAACAAGGACTTTCTGAATTTTCCATCTCTTCAGCACTGTCCAAGGTTTTATTTAATATTATTCATTTTTCATGCTTGTGAATACTTTACTTGTTTAATAAACTGAGGTTTTTTTCACTTTTCTCGAGGGAAGTCTTTTCCTGAACTAGTAGGGGTAGGGGCTGCTTGAACTTTCTTTCTAGATGTATTCCTTTTGGAGATTTCCTCCCAAAATTTGCCCTAAGCCAGCACAAACAGTCACAATGAAAACTTCACCAGTGGCATAATTTCCTGGTGGCAAATCTTGTGACAGAAGCTTGACCTTGTTCTCCATGAGAAATTCTTGGGAAGAGCAGACAGGACAAGATTCCTGGAAAACTGAAACAGCTTTCCAGAAGTGAAATGAAAATGGAAGAAACAATCCAAGATGTTTTCCTCTATTTATTTCTATGCTCCCCTTTTCCATGTTGCATCCCAGTAATTCCAGAGGTACCTCACCTCTAAGATCAGTGACTTAGGGATTTTTAGGCGTTCTAAAATACCATGAGCCACACACAGTTTTCCTTCTCCTGTTTTTACTGGAAAGCAACACTGGACATGTAAGTGTAGTGCTTGGGTCAGGTAGGAATCCTACCCCAAGGGAAGGTGGCCCGACAGTGTTTGACCCTCAGCAAGGACAATGCACAGCAGCAGGCGAGGGGATCGCTGTGCCAGTGCGCAGGAGTCAGGGCTCTGCATCTGGGCTCAGCGCTGGAAGGTTCCCGTGTTTGGGCAGACGGAGGGGCTGTCCCCGGGGCGCGCGGGGCTCGAACGTGGGGCTCGTGGGGCGAGCGGGGAACGGACACGGGGACGAACGGCCCCGGTGCCTCAGTTGCAGCGGCGGCAGCGGCGGCAGCAGCGGCAGCAGCAGCAACAGCGTCGGCAGAAAAAAGACCACAGACCCTAAACACTGCTTCTCATTCTCATTCTCATTCTCATTCTCATTCTCATTCTCATTCTCATTCTCATTCTCACTCTCATTCTCATTGTTCTCTCTCTCTCCCGCTGTCGGGCACCCTTCTCTCGGGGTCCCTTGCCCGGCGTCCCTCTCCTCTCCCCGCCTCCCTGTCCCCTGCCGGGCTGGGCCATGCCCCCGGCCCGCCCCCGGCCCCGGGCGGGGCTGCCCCGTGCCCGGCCCCGGCCGTCCCGCCGCGGTCTCGCCTCCGCCCGGCTCTGGCCGTACTGGCGGTGGCGCTGCTGGGCGGGCATCAGTGCCTGGTGCGGGGGCGGCATCGCCGCCCTTCGGCTCCGCCTGGCCCGAGCCCGGCCCCGGCCCCGAGGCAGGGTCCAGTCCCGACCCCGGCCCCGGCTCCTCCCGGGGCCCGCGGAGGACACAGGCGGCGCGGCCGCTCCCGCCGCTTCCGCTGCGGCTTCCCCGGCCCGAGCTCCGCCGCTCGGCAGCGCGGCCGCCAGCCCCGAGCCTCCCGTGCCGCGTTCCCGGGAGCGAACGCCTGGGCATGGCCGGCCCGGGGCGCTTGAGAGGCGCTCGGGGGCCGTTGCTGGCCCCGGGCCGAGCGCTGACCGCCGCGTCCCGCCCGCAGGGCAGACTCAGCAGGGCCTGCAGGAGCAGTACAGGCTGGGTTCGCTGCTGGGGCGCGGCGGCTTCGGCAGCGTCTTCGCGGCCACGCGGCTCTCGGACGGCGCCCCGGTGAGCGGCGGACGAGGGGAGGGGGCGGAGGAGGAGGAGGAGGAGGGCAGAGAATGGGGCTGGGCAGGGAAGGCGGTGAGCTGAGCCCTCTGCTCCCCTTGACTTGCAGGTGGCCATCAAAAGGGTGCCACGGAACCGCGTCCTGCACTGGGGCAAGCTGGTGAGTGAGCAGGGCCAGCGGCAGCAGCCGGACCGTGCCGGGCGGGACTGAGCCGAGGCCCGGCACGGTGGGAGCCGCCAGGGCGCCCCGAGGGAGAGCGGGCGTGGGGCCAGCGCAGGGCGCAGAGCATCCCGGGCTGGCTGAGGGCTTCACGAGCCCCGGCACGGCATCGGCTCCACTGACGGCATTGTGCTCCTCCCGCAGCCCGATGGCACCAGCGCACCCCTGGAGATTGTGCTGCTGGCCAAGGTGTCCACTGGCTTCCCCGGTGTGGTCCAGCTGCTGGAGTGGCTTGAGCTCCCCAAGGACATCTTGATGGTGCTGGAGCGGCCAGAGCGGTGTCAGGACCTGCATCGTTTCATTCGGGCACGGCGGTTCCTGCCCGAGGAGGAGGCGCGGGAGCTGTTCCGCCAGGTGCTGGAGGCCGTGCGGCACTGCACCAGCTGCGGGGTCCTGCACCGTGACATCAAACCAGGGAACATCCTGGTTGATCTGGCCACCGGGCAGGCCAAATTGATTGACTTTGGCTGTGGCACCTACCTGCAGGACACAGCCTACACGCACTTTGCAGGTGAGCCCACGCAGGGCTCCTGGGCCCAGCATCTCATGACCCAACATCTCCCAGCCCAAGCTGACTGTGGCAGCAGGGATTCTCTCTTTTGCGGCCCTTCATGTCACTGAGTCTTCAGCGAGTTTCTTTTGAAACTCAGGGCTGAGTGGGTAGCCATCTTCCAGCCCTGCTGGCAGCCTTTGCCCCCCACTCTGCCCAGAACTGGTGCTGGAGCAGCCAGCCCAACAAAAATACCCGTGGGTGGGGGTAGCAGAGAGGGAGAACCAGAACCTGTGCCCAGCCGGTTTGGTGTGCAGGTGAGAAAGGGCTTGGACTGCTCCACTCACCTGGTCTGTTGGGGTTCATAATGGTTTTTGGGGCAATGCAGGCCGGGAGGATGAGAGCATGGTTTTTCCCAGCACTGGGTGGGTTCTTCCTTGTTATGGTCAGGCCTTGCCAGGGCTTCCACTGACCTCTTGAAACACCAGTGGCTTCTTTTCCAACCCCAAGTCTGTACACAAGTCCCAGGTGCTGGTGAGAGGGCAATGCTCACCCTGTGTGCCACTGGGGCAGCCCCCACATGCCTAGGGATGCTGGGGCCAGGCTCTGGGAACAGCCTCATCCCCCTGATGAACTCCATCTGTATTCCATAGGAACACGGTCATACAGCCCCCCGGAATGGACCCACTTTGGCTGGTACTATGGCAAGCCAGCTACCATCTGGTCCCTAGGCATCCTGCTGCACCAGATGGTCTGTGGGGAGCACCCTTTCAGGAGGTGCCAGAACATCAGCTGGGACCATCAGCTCTCGCTGCCAGAACGGCTCTCTCAAGGTGGATCCTCATCTCTGGGCACGGGGGGAATCCCAGTGCTGGGAGACAGCAGCAGGCTCGTGGGCATCCTGCACTGGCAGCTGCTGAGGAGGTGGCAAATGTCCTGCTCTCCTCCAAAACAGGGAATGGATGGGAAAGTTTAGGCCCAGCTTTGAGCACATCCAGCATGGCCTGTGCATGGGAATGGTGGGGCAAAGCCAATAGGAGCCTTCTCCAACTAAGTGGTGGTTTCTGGTTTCTCTGCCCAGAGTGCCAAGATCTGATCAGGCGGTGTTTATCCATGCTGGACTTGGAAAGGCCCTCATTAGAAGAGCTGTTCTGTCATCCTTGGATGCAGGATATTCATCTTCCCTAGAAGAAGGGAGAGAGCCACAGGCATACTTTGATCCAGGGCCCTGGTAAGTTCCAGCTCCACACGTGCCTTGGCAATGAGAAGCAAAGGAACCCAGAGCTTTTTGTGCTGCCAGTGACACTGCACCGGGGTCATGGGATGGGAACACGCAGCCCTTGGGCTGGAGCTGAGCTGCTCTGCCCAGCACTGGTGGCCGCCATCCAAACTGGTTTTGCTTGTCCTGGTTCCCTGACAGCTGGGGCCCTGGGCAGAGCCCTGAGAGCCTGGTCTGCCCCCAGGGAAGGAGAAGGAGCCCCTGGAGAAGCTGTACCGGGTGGGGCTGCTGCTGCTGGAGAGAGTGAGGAGGACACCAAGGATGACAAGCTCTTCCTCAGCCTGGCCAGCTGAAGATGATGGACTTTGATTCTGGCACCTTCTTCAAAGCCAGGCTCCACAGTGAATTTGCAGATGAGTCCACATGCAGGGGGATGCTCTCAGATTTGGGCATTGCCCAGCCTGGCTGGGAACCAAAGGTTCCCCCTTTGCTGGGGCAGATGCAACTCATTCTTCAGTGGCTGCCCAGCTGCTTTTGGCAGGGCTGGGGCATGGGTTGGGGTGGGTATGAAATGGGAGTGGGCTCCTGGCCCTCCCAAAAGCCCCCAGCACCCACCGTGCCCCGGGCTGGGGCTGGGGCTGGGGCAGCCAGGCCAACACAAACAAACCCCTATGGTGGGAGCAGAGGTGGGACTCCAGAACCTGAGCACAGCTGCTTTGCTGTGCAGGCAAGGAAGGGCTTGGGCTGCTTCACTGCCCTTGTTTGCTTTGGGGTCACTGTGATTTTTGGCGGCAGTGCAGGGGGGAAGAGAGAAAGTGTGGGCTTCCCTCACCCATGGCTGGGTTTTTCCCTGGCATGTGGGGGTTGGGCCTTCCTCAAGGCCCTGACACAGATAAGAGTTTTTACCGTTTTTCTTGTTTTCCCTTTTTGCATCTAATATCTTTTCAAGAATGTGTTGTTTATTTTTCCAGAGGAAGCATTCAAGGTGGTCCAGTGTGGATGGGGAAGTGCTTGGGAGCAGCTGTGGTGTGGATGGGCCATGCCCTTGGAGAAGGCTGAGGCCGTGGTTTGGGAGCAGCTTTTCTTGCAGCCGTGGCTGGTGTGAGGTGGGTCCCTGTGTGCTTGGCAGGGTGGGATCAGAGCTTTTGGGAGCTGGCAGTGAGCACAGGAGCATCCTGCTCTGGGCAGCTGCTGAGGGCTGGATGTGCCGTGGCTGGCTGCAGGCTGGGCACATGTCCTGCCCTCCTGCTCTGCTGCCAAAGGCAGCAGGGATGGGCAGCTCTGGGCACAGCTCTGGGCACAGCCAGCATGGCCTGGGCACCGCAGGCCTTGGCACAAGGGCACAGGAGCCCTCAGCTGACGGGTGGTTTCTGCTTTCTCTCCTTGCAGCCGGGCTCTGCGGGTGCTGAGGCTGCTCTGGGCTCTGCCAGGGCTCTGCTGGGCTCAGCCCTGGGCCCAGCTGGGCTGGCTCTGCCCTCACATTGCTCTGACAGCTCTGCATCAGACGAGCCCGTTGCGAGCACAGTGCCTGAGCTTTCTGCTTTGGCGGGTGAGTGAGACTCTGCTGCAGGCCCAGAGATTGCAGCTGGGGACACACATCCAACTGGCAAGGACCCAAACTCTCCACAGTCCCAGCTGAACGCCTGGATCTGCACAGGGTGTTTTGTCTGTCCCATTCTTCCTTCTTGATTGGCTGGAATTGTGCAATTGCACTTTCTTCCTCCTCTAGAAGTGCCACAAGTGGGCCAAAGCTGGCAAGTGGGCCGTGCTCCTGAGGCAGTGCAGTCTGGAGCTGGTGGATGGAGAATTGCCCTTCTGCACTTCCAAACCAGAGCAAAAAGCTGTAAGTGGGACTTTGTGTCTCTAAGAAATCCCTGACAGTTTCAAAGGGAATGTGCAGCTCATTCGCAGGGTGAGAAGGAAGGTCATCTTCTGAAGGATTTGGGGTTTGACAGAGTTTCCATTCCCAGTCCTGCTTGGAGCTGGAAGGGCACAAAGCAATTTCTTCTTGCTTCGAGCACAATTTAAAATACAAATTTCGAATGTTTGGAAACAAAGCCCAAAATCTTTTAAAAGGCTGCTGAGGTCAGTAAAATGGATGCATGCCATCAGCACATTTACAATGTAAATACCTGAGTTCTCTTTTTAAAAAGATCATTTACCTCTTAATGCAAAGAATTTAACTTTGCCTTTATGTTTTGTTTTTTCACTAACACCTGGATTTTATTCCTATCTTTTACAATTTACCTATTTTTTTTCCTTTTTCCTTTTTTTTCCTTTCAATAGAAAACATGTCCTATCAAAGGAATGTCCTTTGCTCCTGGTTCCTGTGTGGAGCAGCTCCCTTCCTGCTGGCTGAGCTGGTCAGGCAGAGCCCGGCTTTTCCCCGTTGCTGGGCACAGACTGATGGAGCAGCACTGCTGAACACGGGCACACAGAGGGAGCAGCAGCAGCTGCCTTTGGCCACCTGAGGCTCCAAGGCCCAAACTCTGAGCAGCCAGGGCTGGAAGAGACTGGCAGGATCTGATCCCTGACTCTGGGCCAGGGCTGCACAAATGACCCCACAGCAGCAGCAGCAGCAGCAGCAGCAGATGGAGCTGACTTTGTGCACAGCCCCTGCCCCTCTTCCCTCCCGTGTGCAGCGGTGTCACAGCAGCCTGAGGCACCTGGGAGCCCCCAGTGCCATCAGGGACTGGAGATGGCAGCCCTGGGCTCCTGGAGGCTGTGCAGGGAACAGAGCTGGGCACTCCCTGTCCATGGGGAGCTTCCAGATGGAAAAGGCTGCTGTGCCCAGGCAGCTCCAAGGGCACAGAAAGGAGGCTCTGGAGCACTGGATCTGTGCCAGTGCCACAGTCCTGGGCAGCAGCCAGCGAGCACTGGGGAAACAGAGGGCACAGCAAGAGGGACAGAACCAGGCAAGGGCAGAGACTGGAGAGAGCCAGGCCTGGGAGCAGGAACAGCTGCTCCATTGCACTCTTGGAGAAAGCTCTTGGCTGGTTCAAAACGCTGAAAGGCGTGAAGGGCAGAGAGGAGGCCACACCAAACAATGCTCCTGTTTGCACAGCCTCCCCTCTCCATGTCCCAGAAGGAATTGCATGGACTGTGTTCTTCTCTCTGATTTGTCTTGTTCAGCATGAGCAGCTCAGCACCAGGAGCTGAAGGAGCTGAAGCCTCAGGCCACAGGAGCTGGGCAAGAGGGAACTTTTGGAGCCAAGTAATGCTGCTAAAATAGCCCCAGCTCAATGCAATGGATAGAATCATGGAATCACAGAATCCTTTTTGTTGGAAAAGCCCTCTGAGCTCACCCAGTGCAGCCGCTCACCGGGCAGTGCCAAGCCCAGCACTAAAACACGTCCCTGTAGTGCCAAGGCCTGGACACCAGCCCTGAGTGAGGCCTGGACAGCAGGCCCTGAGCCAAAGGTGGCCTCTGGATGAACCTTCCAAGCAAACGTTATCTTTGTATCTGCTCCCTAATGAAATGTGCATGATCATTAGCACTGAGATAGATGTAGCCACTCATTAGTGAAACATGTATTGACCTTTGTGTATTCAGAAGCCAGACAAGGCCATGAAATCTGACATCTGGCCTTATTTGGGGCTGAAGGATCAAAGTCACCTCCCTTGGTTCCTCCTCGAGCTCTGGCCAGGCTTTGGGAGGGACCCAAGAGGAGGATGAAAGCAGATGTTGCCACACTAGCAGTGCTGTCAGTTTGTTCATTCAGCACTGTCAGAGCTGGGCCCTCTCCCAGCGGGGTTGGAGCCTCACCTGGGGCTGGAGACACCTGCAGGAATTCCCAGTGCCCCGGAGTGGCTCTGCAGCCCTTGGCTGTGACAGCTTGCCCAGCTGCTGTGTGGGTCTGGGGGATGGTAAAGGCTGAGGGTAAATGCTGCTGGATCTTTCTTAATCACTGCAGGCAATCTTTGGTGAGGATGGTTGGGTGCATTGCTGAGCTGCTCCTTTTGTGATTCTTTGCTGCTCTGAACTGCAGGGAATGACACTGATTCCTTCAATTGGAGTCTGTGTCTTTGGTGCTGCCCCTGCCCACTGGTAAAACAAAACTGGCACAGTCAGGCCAGATGACAACAAAATGTTACTTGTTCAATATTAATGTGAGGAATCAGTCCCATCAGAAATTCCCAGCTGGGAAGCCCTTCCCTGGAGTTCTCTGGCTCTGGAGTGGGCTGAGGTCAGAGCCCTGTGGGAGCAGTGGGGCAGTCGGGTAAAAGAGGTTGAACCCCTGGATGTCTTCAAATGCATCCAAAAATTGCACATGAAAAAGAAAAAGACCATGTGGATTTGGGCAGACGAGGGTGAATTTGTTGAGAGTACATAGGAAACAGCACCTTCAGAAGGAACAGTGATTGTTGGAATGCTCCCACATGGAGCAACAGAAGAAGGTTTTAATCTTATGCTCAGATGGACTTGAGCAAGTGAAATATCAATATAATAAATAACTATATACAGATTTATAGTATGATAAGACCTTAATATATGTTTATATATTTATATATATGGCTATATCTACATATCTATATCTATATTTCTA